GTTGTCACTTTTGGTTGGATAACTAGAATAACTCCATGACTTTTCAATGATTCGGCTATACTCAGGTGATATGTATTTTATCGTTTTTTGTTTACTGAATGGTATATCGCTCTTCAGTTTTACATTCGTATTACTTGCAGCTATTGGTGATTCTTCAATTGAAAAACGTTTTGAATGTATTCTCTTTGACTGTTGATTTAATTCGTTATCATCCAATGGATCCTTTTGATTTGAGCTTATTTTAGCTGTATCATACCCGTCTGTGTTTGATATTGGCATTTCATTATCTAAGTCTGCAGTTTCCCCTTGAATGAACACGTAATCCATATACTTTGGATTATCAATTAAATGATTTTGAGTATTCATTGCTGATGATTGTTCTTTAATGTTGTCAAATATTTCTGATTGATCTGGTCTTTCACCTATTATCGTATCTACATCAAATATCATTGGACTATTTTTATTAACGTTTTCATGTGAAATTGTAGATTTATTTTTTAGGTTTAAATTATTTTTATCTAGACGTAAATGTTGGTTTTCATATTTATTTAACTGAATACGAAAATTATTGTTGTGACCAATGAATCCTTTATTATGATGATTAGGTCCAAAATCTAAAATTGCAATTTATATACTCTTTTTAATGACCTTTCAATTCATCAATGCTAATCTTTTACATCATACTTATCTATCTGGAAATTCATGCATATTTCAAATATCATTTATTATTTTAAAATCTTATTTGAAATTTAATAATGAGCAAATTATCATATATGTGTCTTTGCTGGTTTATCAAACGACGTTCTGTTGATTGGATTTATACTCATGAAAAATTTTAATAAATTTTTTATCGTAAATGCGTTTACTTAATTATGTTTTTTGAAGAAATAGTTATCTGTTATGAAATTTAAAAATAAATCATAAAAATTTATTAAATTTTTTCAAAGTATAAATTATATTACAATATACCTGTTTGTTGTGTATACTCTGGATTTAGCATTAAGTTTATACTGTGATTTTGTTTCGGATCCTCATAGCCAGTAAAATTCAGCTTCGTTTTATATTCGTATTGCATATGATTTCCAACATTTGGGATTTCTTCATATAATACATTATTAGGCGCCTTTCTATTTAGATTAAGTTTGAAATTCTTATAGATATTATTATTTAATATCTCTGATGTTTTATTATATAAAATATCTGTATTACCTGAATTTTTTCTTAATTTTTCAAATGCAGATAAATAACCTATGTGAATATAAAAATGGGTTGATTAAAAAATCATTTTAGCGAACTATAATATTTTTACTGCTAATGAAATTAATTCAGTACTCACTTAAATGTGCCTTAGTATGATTTAAGTGTAAACAGAGTAAACTGCTAATAATAACTATTTTGAATTTCATTATTATATTTTCTAATAGAGAAAAACAGGTTTTCAAAATAGAAATGGGTGTAACTGTATCACTAAAGTTTTTATAGCGAAATATTTCCTACATCGTGATTGACGTAAAAATAAGTCTAATGAAAACATCAATTTATTATAACACAGTCATTGTTAAAGTCAAGTAAACATATTTACAATACATTTTTTAATTAAATTTTTGTGAGTGTTTTAATTATATATCAAAAACAAAAAATAAAAACAAAATGCAATACTCGATAATTATTACAATACTAATAAAATTTACAATTTCCTTAACAATTAATGTGTAAATCATTTTCAGATTTAAAAAATCAAATTTTTGTTCAATTATATTACAGAAAAAAAAATGTTTAAAAAATTTTTTATAAATAATTCACAAATGAATTGATATCAAATTTATATTTTTGTGAAACGTTTATATAACTTCACGTTCTACAATAGGCAATAAATTTAAATAAAATTTTTCGTATTTATATACGAATATATTCATGTTCACGAGAGAAATCATAAAATTGATTTTAATTGTTTTTAGCACGAATACATAATATCAATACTACGTTTATACTTAATTCATATTAAATCACATTTAAAATTTTTTTAATATTTAATGCTAATATACTTCAAAATATATGTTTATAATATATGTAATATATGTTATAATTATAATCAATTTAACAATGTAAATGTCATATAATAATAATACACTATAAATTTATTCATATAATTATGATTTCATTTTTGAAAATGTCATCACTTTTGAATTTTATGTATTCTGTAATAGTTTTAGTATTCAAATCAACTTTTATTAACAATAAAAATAATTTGTACAAATATAAGGTATCAAAAAAGTATATTAGATATAGTAAAGCTTTTCAATAAGTGAATTCATTAAAAAATATTTTATTCCTTTTTAATCAAGTATTGTTATGTAGTAACAATTACTTTTTTAAATTTTTTTATAAAGTACAAACTTTACAAAGATAATAAAAAGGCACTTTAACAAAAACAAAAATGTTAATTTTCAATATAATTTCATTAATACATCTGTTTAACAAAAAGATTCAGCTAACAAAATAAAGAATGAGTCTGTATTTAATACATTTTCCGGTTATCGTTTAAATTACAACATTTAACGTAAGTAATTGTTATTTAATTGAGCAATAATGCATTTACTTGAAAATTTATTTTTATGATATGAACAATGAGTAATAATTTATCAGGTTTCATTTAAGCACAAAGGAATTTACAATCAGATAAATTGACTCGACATAAGTGTGCGATAGAATTTACAAAGTTGGAAAGCTTTTATGTTTGCACTAAAATAAAAGTAAAAGTAATAGTAAAAGTTCAAATAAAAATAAAATTCACTCTTTTTTGTATCAGACTTCTTAATTATTTTACACTATATGTACGGTCAAAAAATTCAATGCAAATTAAAATAATTTTAATGAAATTGTAACAAATTTTAACAAACTTCAATAAAATGAAAAATATGTAATAATAATTTATTTAATAAATCGTAATTTTTAAGAATTATAAAATCCCAGAAAAGAAAATATCAAGCTTCTGTTTTAACCTTGGCATATACACAGTGGCCAAATGTATATTCTGCGGATTACGTAAAACATAATAGATAAAGCCCAACTTTTGCCACTCGCTCGCAATAAAAATGTTAAATCTCAGTAGAAGAATATACAGTACATATAAACTACAGGTTACGACAAGCTATTTTTCATGTCCTCCGTCCTCGATATTGCATATTTTCTCAAAACCTTCCTAAAACTTTGAATTACCTGCGGGTCTTCGCGTTCAGGGTATTTGTACGTGTCCTCGGCTATATTTGGTACAAGAACAAGCCATTTATGTAAAATGAACTGTGATTATCCAATGACATTTCCAGGCAACTCAACCTTTCCCGATTTCTTTCTAATAGTAATTGAAGCATGCGGGTTAAGGAGTTAGGGGTTTCCCCAAAGCTTTCGGCATCAAAATTAGCAGTTTTTAAATACCCAAGCATACCTTATCACTTTCGTGTACTTTGATTACAGTTCTAAACCCGACAATATTTATAACCGATCCTTACATTTTGCATTCATCAATATTAATATTTATAATAATAACAAAAATATTGTAATTTTATATAAGATTAAATTTTAATTAAATTAAAAATTTCGATAGTATAGTTAAATATAAAACTGATAAATTAATAATTTATATTTATTGAAATTTGATATTTTATTTTATTATACTATGAACGCTCAAGTTATATATGTTGGGGGGGGGGGAGTGTGGGCGCGCGCACATGTGGCATGTGGCATGTGTTTGCGTATGTACACGTGAACGTAACAATTATAAGATTAGAAGAGCAATAAAATTCATTATTATAACGTCGATATAATTCAAATGATATAACACGTAGTATATAAAGATATTAAATTTGTTAATATAAAATAAATACTGATTATAAATATTTAAATATAATTTCAGAAATTATCAAATAATTAGAAATTATTACATAATATAAAGAAACTTATGTAATTATAATTTATTATATTACATTACAATTCTAATTTTCATATTTCTATATATACTTATCATCTTCTAGATAACTACATTTAATTAAATTCATTTAGGAATTTATAAAATTTAATTTCTTAATCCAAGGACATTAAAATAAGCATTTTATAAGTAATACCTTATAATATGAATTATTAATAATATAAATTTGCTTACTTTAGAATTTAACTTACTTGAGAATTTAAATACAAATTTTTTTTTATAAATAACTTTAAATTATTAATATATTTATATATATAATACATCTAAATATAAATAATACATGATAAGACTTATAATCATTAATAAATAAATTTAAAAATAAATTCTAAATATAATATTAAATTTACGACATACGCTTAAGATTTTTAATGTCCTAAATTTACTGTTAAATAAATCATGAATCCAAAATATTAATTTATTTGATATTTGTATTTATTATCAAAACTAGGGCTCATTTATGCTTATTTATATTTATTTAAAACAAGATTATTTAGTTCTTATAATTTAAAATTCATTCTGTATCAAATTCTGAAATATTTATTAGCTATTGAAGAGCGTGAATTACAAGTAATAGATAAATGAGAAACTTTAATCCTTTGTAATTATATAATTTATTTAAATGTTTATTACAGCTGAAAAATCTTAAATAATCGTATGTGTTAATTTTTTTATAGTATATTATAAAAAATTTTAAACAAATAATATTAAATATATTTTACTATGCTTTATTATACAATTTAATCGAAGACTTCCAATTTATAGTTATAACAGCATATCAATTAGTAGGCTTTAATAAAATAATAACATTATTACATAGAATATAATAGAATATTGCTTTTTTGAATTATCCTTACAGTATTAAGAATTACATGCACTAGTATATTTATAATATAAACTAATAAACTAATCTCATATGTGTATATATATATGTATATTATATATGTATATTATATATGTATATATATTTACTTATAGTGATAATTCTAAGAATGGATAAATTGAAATACCTGTACCCCACTTGCTTAGATTTGAGGACAAGCAGGTAGAGCATTTGAAATGTTCAGTTTAGTTAAAAATTGACATTCTTATAGTAAGCACGACAAGTTTAAACTGCGTTTAAATTAAAATTTTAACTCAATTTCCACAAAAATGGTACGTATTAACAATCAGCATATTATGAGTATGTGGGTGTGTATGGGTATGTGTATGCGTGTGTGCGTGCGTGCTTGTTCCAGCGCACTTGCGTATTATAGTTATTAATTTTATATTCATTATACTTTATATTAAATTATAAATATCCTCTATCGTAATGAAAATTTGCAAAAAATTAATTTTCTTAAGAAAAATTTTTTCAGAAAAAAGTGTTACATAATTGTTTTATGTTCTAATTGATTTACCGAAGAATAATTGTTTTAATATTTTTTTAATTCTCGCCTATATGTAAAATATATTATTGATATTGAATAATTACAGTTAAATTATTGTATTTTCTAAAATTGTACAGATTTACAATAATTAATCAATATTTATAGAAATATTAAGGTAAATTTTAATATTTAAAATTTTTAAATTAAACTAAAAAAATTAAAATTAAACAAATTAAGAATTAAAATTAAATTCTTTATATTTAAATATCATTGACAAATTGTTTGGCACCATTAATATATTTGTATTCTTAAACATACCTTTTATAGACAGATAAAGATTTGCTAATTAAATATCTATTAAATGCATCTAATGATTTTATTCTTTAACCTTCAACAATTAAGAGCAATAAAAATATTTTCAATAAAATTAACTCTAAAAAAAATCAATTTATTTAATTGTATAATTTAAAATGAATACTTTGTCTTTTGAATAATAATTTTTATTTATATAAACAAGTATACAAAATCATACCAGCTATAATAATTATTATAATAATAAAATGAAAGCTGTATCAAATATATTAGTAATGAAAAAATTGACTATTTTATTTTTGCAAGAACTTTTAAATTGTGTAATTTATTAAAATCTTATGTAATTAACTGTTAGGTACATGTAGATATTAATGTAGATGTTAAAACGCGTAACTAAATACATTCGTATAAAAGCTTCGAAAGAAATACTATAGAAAATGTAAAATACAAATTTTATTTATAATATAACAATTTATTATTTTATGTTTTTAAATTCAATCGAATCTCTTTAAAATATTACCTTAATATCTAAGCAAAAATGTAATATAGTATTTGCAAATACAATGAATTATTATTCTTATTTTACTGCTTTTTCTTCGGATGATTCAAATATAAAATTAAATGAAAAAAAAAATCCTTCAACTTTTATATCGATTGTAAAAGAAATATAAATTATAAATATTATAAATATTCAACCTAATGAAATACTATATTCATCAAACTAGTCTGAAAATGCAAGGATTATAAAGCTGTATAATTGATCGAATATCACATATGAAAATATCAATAATCATTTAAACATTAATGTTTCAGTATAATCAAATGACGAAAAAAAGACGAAGTTACAACACGCAACTTCTATTTCAAGCAATCAATAACAACAACACATCAATGGTTAAGCTGTTACTCAAAGAAGGTGTCCGTATAAATGCTCGAGATAATTACTGTCGGACTTTCTTACACGTTAATGCAATAAGTGGCAATCATAAAATCACGAAATACCTGATAAAATATGGCTGCAATCTCAACGCAGTCAACTGTGCTGGTGATACAGCACTACACGAGGCCATAGCTTACAATAATGATCAGATTGCACGTTGTTTGATAAAGAATGGATCTAATGTACGTATAAAAAACTACAATGGGGACAGTTGTCTTCACTTTGCGGTAGTTTATCGTCACAAACTCAATGTAATTACGATGATTCTGAAAAACGGAGCAAACATCAACAATGTCAACGTTTACGGTATGAGCCCATTGCACTTTGCGGTTGAATCTAAAAACATTAGAATAGTAAAAAAGCTTATTGCCAATGGTATAAAAGTTAACTCGATAAAATGTGGAGTCTCGGCATTGCACATGGCAGCTGGAGTGGCTAGTGAAGTTATAGTGAAAATTTTATTGAAAGCTGGAGCCGATGTTAATTACAAAGATGTTAACGATTGCTCACCTATTCAGTGTGCAGTATATACCGGTAATATCGAATTAGTCAAGACATTAATTGAAGCAGGTGCTAATATTAATAATCAAAACAAAATTGGCGCTACCGCTTTACACAATGCTATAATGTGTGGTAATGAACGAATGATTTCTCTACTATTGAACAACAATGCAAATGTATGTATAAAAACAACCGATGGCGACACGCCCTTGCATTGGGCGGCAATGTTAAATGTGGGTGAGAGCCATGCTAATATTTTAAAAAATTTACTGGATAAAGGCAGCAACGTAAATAATCGAAATGCTAGTGGACAGACGCCTTTTCATTTTCTTATCCAGGACGGTAGCAGAAAAGTAGTGAAAATGTTTCTCGATAAAGAAGCGGATTTATTAAAAAAAGATTTTGAAGGCTCCACTGCGTTGCATTATGCAGTTTATAATGGCGATAGCGAGGTATTAACATTAGTTCTAGATAGCGGTATACATATTAATGAAAAGTGTACACGCGGTACAACGGCTTTACATCATGCTGCAAAAAAATCTAAATCGGATTATATCCAATTACTGTTAGAGAAAGGTGCCGATGTTAATTCGCCAGATTTATGCGGACGTACAGCACTGTATTATACAATTGTTGAGTCGATTGCCCATAGCGATGGACAGAATGTATCCGAGAGTAGGCAAGAGTCTATTAGATTATTACTAGAATATGGAACGGATATTAATGATAAGATTTACCAGGAACGCACGATTCTGGAAATAGCTATAGAGAGAAGGGAAACGGTAGTTGTGAATTTTATTGTTGAGCATATTGCCAAGTTGAGCTTACGTAAGATGCCAATAAGCGATTACAATGTACAATTAATAAATAAGCATAACGATGTGATAAACTATTATGATATGTGCAAAACTGAGCTGCAAGCCGCGATAAAAAAAAAGATTTTTGGAACGGTATCCTTTTTCAATATTTTAACGGATAGTATCGACGTAATAGCTGGTTATGCCAGAAATATAGATCTCGTGGACGCATTTGAAAATAGCAATTACGAAATGAGTTTTCCCATTTATTGCTTACCATTAAAAACACGATTCTACGAAGGTGTAGAGAGACAAAAATTGATGGAAAGGGCTGCTATAATTTTGAGTCATAGCTTAAATTTTGCTGATCCGTACCACATTGTATATAAAAGACTTTTGTATTATTTTAGTATAAAAGATTTACGTATTTTAGTTAACGATTAACAATATTATCTGTAATTTATATAATTTATATAAAGGCGATATTTAAACTGAGAATTATGTACTATGATGAAAAGTGCCATAACAATGTTTAAAAATAGTTTAATTATTAAATATTTTAAAGTTTAATAATTCTATAATATTCATATAAAAATAAAATATACAAATGTATATTAATTAATAATGGAAAATCGTCATATTTTTTTTTTTTTTATCAACAAAAGAAAAACAATAAATTATTATTTTCTATTAAAAATGCTATTAAAGCGTATGTATTTAAATATTATAAAAATCAATAAATTACCATATGAATTTATACTTTTATTTCTTTTTTAAACATTAAATATACTGTTTTATATTGTATAAAATTACGTAAAATTTGATATATTAAATTAAGCCGTATATTTTAATTCATGATCTGAAGTAATATTATTAAATTGTATATAATTTCCTATCCTGAATTTGCTCCTTTAAAATCATCCATTATTTAACGCAATTTTATTGTGCTCAAATTATTAATATTTAAAGTTAAAATTGATATCGTTAATTAGAAATACAACTGTATTGTGTTTGATTGAACATTTCACTTAACTTAAACAATCATCTTGAATTAATAAAAGTATAGAGGAATTATTGACATTTTTTTTTCATTCTCTAAATTAATATTATATTATTTAATTTAACGATAATGTCATGTAAAATAAAATATAATATTGAACAATAAATTCAATTAGTTTTTAATAATATTAATATTGTATCGTGCAAATGTAATATGCGCGTGTGTAACTAAACTAACTCGTTAATTCCAAATGAAATTTTTTAAACTAAATTATAAGAAATGATTTACAAAAGTTAGTGAACATATATGTTTATTAAAAAATTGTACATGTATTTCTTACCACAATAAGGATCTAATGAACTTCCGTTAAAAATATTTTCATTCTATCATTATATTATTTTCCAAAATTTTGCATATTTATATATTTTTATATTTCCATTTTAAGTATAAATTACTAATTCGAATATGAATATTTCATTTGTTTTTCTTTTAGTGATTTATAAATATTTAGCAGTTAATTGAATTCAACTTTATATATACATACATATATATATATATATATATATGTATGTATGTATGTATATATGTGAACATATACTGTAGGTAAAAGTTAATTGAAAACCAAGCGAAATAAAACTGAATTTGAGATATCACATAATCTATTTAAAAATATGATGAAATATTAATTTATTTATATCAGAAAATTATTAATTCCTTTGTACAAATTAACTACATTCACCAAATATGTATTTAATATATAAAATATTTACTTAGTTAATTAAACTCTAAAATGTATTTGAATACTTAATCATTTTTTAATAATTAATTTATTAAATTTTGTGAAATAAATACTACGTTAATTGATTAAATACAATTTAATTTAAATTACCAATGCAACAAAACAATATTTCTTATTTTCACCTTGTTTTAGATTTTTTTAGATTATCAAAAAATTATTTATTGTGCTCGTAAAAAACGCAAATGCAAATGTTGTAAAATACTTCTCAATATTAAGTACTAACCATCTTGACGTTAAGAAAGATTTGGGATTCCACAAAACATAACGTTGGTTATTATTTATTCTTTTTATGGAATTAATTTGTATAATATTCTAATAATTCTTTCGATAGGTTATATACTTAACTTACAGAAATTAGTTAATTTCACTCTTTTTGGAATAATTCAATAACAATTACTATATTATATGTTATAAAAACATGATTACAATATTAATTATGCGTATCAATATAATGCAAAAAAAATTAAGTGAAGGAGTTAAGAAAATTTGGTATTGCAAGAAATTAAAAAATGTAATCTCAACACAATGAAAATTAAATATTACTGAATAAAATATTCGATGCACATGGTACCAAGATATAATACCATAAAATACTGACATATTTAATAAGTAAAATATTGAACAATGAATAGTCTATTCTATCGTGGTATATTACGTACATTGGTTTTAATTGTAATCTATGTGTGATATATACTGCTAGCGTTATTACGAGAAAATCCTAATAATTCCGAGATACCATTTACTTTTTATTATGTTTTAAATTAATTTTTATATAAATTAAAATTTACTAATACATTTTTTGATATTATTTAAATATAAATATTCTATTAGATCTATGTTATTTTTTATAATTGACATTTACTTTTTCCACTGAATTTATCCTATATGATATATTCATAAAGATTATAATCTTTATTAAATAGCAATATTTATATCAACATGGTTATATCTAATTGTTATAATTCTATTATAAAGAAATAGTCTATAAATTTGGATGCACAAATGCTTAAAAAAAAATCTATTTAAATTAATTATTCAAACGTCCAGTCTTCAGATGTTCTAAAACGTTGAAAAAAGTAATAATTAAAATTAATCGATTTGTTTGTATATTATGAGAAAATTTTATTTGATTAATACATAAACTATTACATAGAATATTGAGCAGGAATTTCTAATTAAAAAGTTAACTAAATGTCTTGTTATAAAATAAAATCGTTTTTTTTTTCGTAAAATGTATATATTCTGTAAAATAGATATTTTTTTTTAAATTATCTTTGTTCGTTTAACTTGAAAAACACGGCCAGACTAAATTTAATTAATCATTCAACTTATCGGCTGTTAAATAAGAGAATACAAAAACGACTGACATCACTGTAAGTGAAAAATGTATCATGGTTCGAAGAATTTTTATTTATTTGTTATCCTTGTTTCTAGCGACGGCATCTGAGTTATTTTTATCAAGCGTCAAAGAAAAATCGAAGATTCTATTAAAAGCTCTAGATCAGATCAAATGTACCCGTCTAGGATGAAGTGCTGCATTATTTCTTGGATTGAAACTGTCACTCTCCAACTAGAAACACATGTTTTATATAGTATTGTTTTCTTTTTTACATTGTAACTGCATTGAAAAGAAATTATTATTCAGTACATTAAGTGCATTATTAAAATAAAACTCTGTGTACCAAGAACGAAGGAACAGAAAAAAATGTGATGTAATTATGCATACCAAATGTCATATCAGGCAATAACTGATAAGAACAAAATTCTTTAAATGCATTTAATATATCCTACACTTTGATATTTTGAGTAATGTTAATTTCAACTTTAGCATTATCTCTATTTATATCTAATTTCATGATTTCAACGTATTCTTTTCAATTTTTTTCTCGATGAAAATTTAAATATTAATATTTAATATATTTATTTACATTCTCAACTAATTAATACAGCTCATATTTTTATAGATGCAAGTTTTAAATTATTAAGCACGTATCTAATGTAAAGACTTTATACTTTCATCAGTAAAGATATATAAATGATTTGATGATAGTCCTTTTTTTTTAATTTGGAAACAATTATTTTTAAGATATTAAATATTTAAGTATTTTAAATATTTAACAATATATTTTAATATTGATATTTTAGTAAATAATTGTAACTAATTGTAAAGACTAATAGAATGTAGACAAATGTGGTAATAATACTATAATGATAAGTTATTTAAATATTATATATATTATATATATTATATTATTTTAATATTTAAATATTATTAAAAATGAAAAAGTTTTTTAAATATTAAATTTGTGTATCTCATTAAATATTCGATATAATTAAATTATTCTTCTATATAATACATAGGTAATAAATACTCAAAATATATGTAATGTAACTGAACTTTAAGTTAATCCAACTTACCTATGTAGTAGTGTTAAGTTATTTAAAATTTAACCAAGATGATATTTACTCAAGAAAGTAATAATGGGTACAAGTAAGTGACTGTGATCATGATCTAAAGCCTTAGTAAACGTTATTCTATAAAACTATAAGTATTTATAAGAGCGAAAGAGAAAAAGAGTGGGATAGCGATGGAGAAGAAGTGGGGGGGGGGAGTAAAGTAGAGTTTATGTTATACGTAATACTGCTAGGTTCAAAATACTATTATTTAAAACTATTAAGGAAAATACTGCAAAAATCTAAAGAAAGGCAAAAAAGTCCAAGACGAAAAACTCTGTAATTATTTATTGAGATCAATCAGTAAGCATATAAAATTCCAAAGAAACAAGAATTTTCATGACCTATGGATCCAAAGAAAAGAATCATGTCTCTGTACAGAAAATTCTTTTTTATTCCATATCACAATTGAAATAACAAAATTATAAAATTAAATTCAAAGTACAAGAAAAGGCCAAGAAATTTAGAAAAGTTAGGCGTTAATTAATTAGAGCTAAATTTGGTTCGTTATTGTATATAAACTGCGTTGTAGGGTCACAAGAGTTTATCCCCGATGAGATCTTCTTTATGCTCCAATGATGCAGTATTTAATGAAATACCCGGGCAGGATTCGCTGAACTGGATCAAACTGGCTCATTTGATTCAATCTTGTCAATACGATACTTTTAACAAGTGGGACAATTATCGCACTAAACATTATTATTCAATAAATTATCCCTAATTTACATTAATAAAATTGATAACAAATCTTGCTTTATAAAAATATTTATATAATTAATAGAATATCTATAAATTTATTATCAATATAATAAATCCTCATAGTTTATTCATTTAAACATTTATATATGTATTTTTACTCATTAGAATGAATAGTTTTTTATCCCAATAAATTAAAAAAGAACTTTATATTAAAATAAAAATTAAAAAAAAAATATAATAAGAAGTATTTGTCTGAAATGCAGAGGCATTTACATAAGTATTTGATGTATTCAGTGAATCAAGATATATTGTTATATAATAACGAATTAGATGTATTAATTCTATCAGTCATTTATTTAACAAAGTTTAATGTAAAATATTTATCTCTTTTTTCTTCAATGTCATTAAAAAATATCTAACAAAATATCTAAATAAAAACAAAATATATGTAATGAAGAACTAAGTATTTCAACTACTCTAAG